TTCACGCCACGCCACTGAGTAATACAGCTCATCAACTTGATCACTTTCGAAGGGTCTGTAATTTTTCCGTAGGAATGAGGAATTTCTCCTTAAGGATTGCCTGTATTCAGTATGAACTATATATAAGATCTAGAAGGATATTCAAACTTTTGCTTTTTAACAATTTGACCAGAGATCCAATCATTATTGTTTAAAACTTACACAGATTCATCTTAATATTACATCATAATTTTTCACTGGAAGTGACTTGAAAGAAGCAGGTAAGAAAAAAAACTTTAAATGTGGCTCGAATACTGGGAGTAACAGGATGCTAGGTCCGCACTATAGGGAAATTAAAGCCATGAAAAACCAAGCATTAGAATTTTAATAACAAAATGGACTCTAGTTAGTTTCAGTTCAAGACTGTAGGAAGAGAGTGTTCAGAAAAGTATGCACTGAAACTCATTAGGGCTCATTTTGTAACTCTGATTCTAATTTTTAGTTTTCTAGACGTTCTTATTCCATGCAGAATGAGGTGGATCCGCAGCATAACTCTGCCATGTTAAAGAAAAATGTCGTATAAACATTTGCCTGTCGCCTTTTTCCTCTAAAAATATTAATTTTTAGGAAAAATTATGAATATTTCTTCTCAAAAATTTCTCTGAAAAATTGGACCGAACAAATTTATAAATTATCCTGAAAATTTGTGTTTAATCAAAGGATATTTTGCAATGTGCGGAGGTTCATACGGCGTCCTGCTTTAGGTCGGCAGTATTCTACCATTCTGTCATTAAGGCAAGTATATTGTAACTTTGCCGTCAAGAGGAAACGTTTCTTGAATGAAGAATAAAAGATACTTTTATGCAGAAACCTGTTTCATTTGAGCGGTTTTATCCTCAATTTGAGAGGAAATCTGCTTAACGTCAAATTCAAGCCATTTTTTTTTCAAGTGTTTTATCAATATTTGTACGTGTACTTAAATGGCTTTCATCGTTGAGATCAATTATTGTAATAAGGGAAATATGGTAAATATATAATTCTTAGCAATTCTGGTCTAATGATCCTCTCTTGTGCAAGGAATAAAAACATTGATTTTTGGAGCATTGAAAGCTAAAAATTTGCTTTATTTTCTCTTGAGAAAATAAGATGAAAGAATCACTTGAACGCAATCTCTATACAAGACTTGTCCAGCGTTTTTTTTTCATAATTCTCCGGAGACTTTAACGAATGGGTAAGAAAAAAGGACAGTGGCGAGGCGTTAATGATCGATCATCGACATTTCCCTATTTAAAGCTATGGTAAAGAATCGATTATTAAGGCGTTTGTTAAGAATATCCTTTTGATCGATCCTATAGGTTTAAATGGCAGATCAATCGATGTATAGCAAAGCACGCCACGACCCTGAAAAAAGAGCCATCTTAAAAGCTTCATCTCAACATTGAAATCGGCTTTTTTGTAGTCATTCTTAATCTTCTCTTATACCAAGGTTCTAAGAATAAAAAGTTAGTTTAACTAATTAGAAATGAACTAGGAGATACGCTCCCTGGTCGCTATGCGGCCCTTTTGCAGTAGTAGCCTGAGTCATTCTGTGAATTCGCTTTTTTTATAGCCTCATCATAAAAGTACTTGGGCCGTATTTCAAAAATCTGAATAGGACGGGTACACACGATATTCCTGATTTGACAATTTTGTAGTTAAAAAAGTATCCGAATTGTTTCCATGTAGATTTTACAATAAATAATTACTAATTTAACCACCCCCGTGATTAAATTATCTTTCCACTATATTGTTAATTGTACATTTGAAACAATATGTCGGACATATTTTTGAACAATTGAATTGTTAGATCAGCAATTCATTTTTTCCGTGCATTTATGGAATATCCACCGTCGATTGCCACAAAAATATGGATTTTGGCCTTGTGGAGCGGTAGAACGAACTGTTACCAGAAATGAAAATTTAGGAAGCCGGAGATGTTATATGGTAATGCTTTGTTGTTAAAAATTTGATAGAAAACAAAAACAAAGGAGAGTCAGGTTGAAATAAGTTTTATTCTTCGTTTCATTTTTCAACGTTAAAATAATTTTGATATTTTTCGTTCAATATTTATGTATACTTATATAATAATCTATAGTTACTGATAGGAGAACAACTTTAAAAAAGGAAAGCCTGAGACCTCATTCAACTACGACTATCAATTTAAAACTCTACATTGCACTCGGAACACATTTCAACAGATATTAGAATATTCAGGTAATAACTTTTTATCGGCAGATATTTACAAATAAACAATATTATTTACAAGTTTTGATCTACAATTCTGAGCATGACCGCCCAAGGAGAATATTAACCGTTCCTTAAATATAGATTTTTACACGAGAATAAACAAAAAAATGGAAACACTTTTCGGTCTGTCGAATAATGTAAGGCAGCACGAAATGCACTAAATTTCCGAATTTAGTGGCTTAACATATTAACTCCTTGCGTTTGGCATAATATTATTTGGCCTGTTTACGTTACACTGAATTAAACACACGAAAAAGTGAGAAAATAGTAGGTCTTAGGCTTGAACATTGCAATGCAAATGCTGGAAGTGATGTTTAATCAGTCAAAGTGTCAACATTGTTTTCCAATACAATGTATTACTATTGTAGTTCTAAAATGATTCACATTGATTTTGTTCGTATTCCTTCAGAACTTGAGTACAAAAGTAATCATCGAGTTACATCATACACAGGGTGATCCAAAAGTCCAACGCCAATAGCAACAGAAATCATCTCTATAACTTCTGAACAAATTGAGATAGAGAATTGAAATTTCGGAACTAATTCTAGGTCAAGAGAAACGACCATTTGAGCCCCCAAAATTTTAAGAGGACTACTCTGGAAAGAAGCAAGAACCCTAGGGATTATAGAGGTACTTCGATACTTTTGGATCACTCTGTAGACATCCGACGAAAATGGACGGCTTAGGATGATCACGCTCTCATACAACTAAAATTTGACATCAGCTATTGAAAATATTGCTACACCTATGTACATATTTAAAAAAAATCACAAAATTCAACAATTAAATTAGGACAAAACGATTTACAATTCACATTTTTATTTACATACCAGTCGTATTTTCAATTTTACATTAAAAAATATCCAATATATTAATAACAAGAGTAGTGGAGAACAGTTATTTCTCTCCTCTTGCTTTTGAAGGAAATGATCATGATGAAAGCAAGGATACGATTCATCATCTGATGGCGTACAATTTTTTTCCAAATTGCGATTAGAATAGGGAATTTTGAGACTACGTGGAGTTCTGGGTTGTATAATGAGTATGATGAAAAAAACAAAACATGATCATAAAATAAATAAGTGAAAGTGAAAGACTAGAAGATTCTTCCTACCCAGATTAACAACACGCATCTTTTAATTCTCACAATGATTGCGTCCTCTGAGCTGAGGGAGTAATAACATAACATATCAAGGGATTATAAAAAAACGATAGTTTGCGGAAGAGATCGGAAAGAAATATAAAAATAGTACAGTGAGAGGTTCAGAGAGTGTCACTCCAAGCTTAAGTAAGAGCAACTCTTGTAGTTGAACAAACAACAGAAAACTTTGGTTCAATTTTTATAGAACATATATTAATAATTCAATTAGTTCAAATGCTCATTGATTTATGTTCGGCAGAAAACAGCAGAAGGTCCGCGAGATCATATGAAATTCCCCAACAAAATAGATACGATGATTTTGTTTTTATACATTCAGAATTTTTGGCACAGTATCGTGGGGGAGTAAGGATTAAAACCATACTTTAGTTCCTAACATCATTTTTCACACTCACATAGTTAACAACGTTGATTTTCAGAATCTTGGTCTTACATAGGCAAAATTCCAAAATACAAGTTTTACATTACGTGCCTTGTAATATTTGATTATCTTCTTGCATACTCATATGCCTGAAAGTCTCGCTTTGTTTGATTTCCGAAAGGCGTTTCGATCGCTTTTTAATATGTCAAGGATGAAAGTTGAAAAATACGCATCTCGATTGTACACTTCAAAACTCTCCTTTTACCGTTTCACTTACTATTATAAGTGAATGAATTTAACTAAGTGATGATAATAAAGAAAGTATTGCTTCAGTTCTCACAAAATATCTGTACTGGACAAAAAATTAGATAAAACTAAAAGCATTTATAATCACTCATTTTCCTTTGAAAAAATAATACGTGGAAGAAAATTTAAAGTGTCGTAAATCGGAACACGTATTATTTTTATTATCATCGATACGTTTCTTAAATCAAGGAACAAATGCCTAATATTTACCACAAAGAAAAAGACTTTGGATTATGCGGAACACACAAAATTCGAGACTTTTTGACTAAGATTTGAAGTTCTGGATATTTTCAAAATTTGAATACATGCCCAGGCATTTGACGGCTCGTATGTCATTACGTCGGCCTTCCTTGCCACTACTGTACTAAGGAAAAACGCCGTATGGATCTTCAGGCGTTGCCAAAGTTCCTCTGATAAAATACGAATTTATTGAGGAAGTCATAAATGCTTTTACACAAATTTTTCAATCTATTTTGCGCGCAATTTAATCTAAAATACCTGAAACTTCAAAGGTAAAATACGCATATATTCCGTCAAAAATCTATGTTTTAACGTCAAAGTCGGCAGTAAAATATACACCAAAAAAAATTCGTTTTCCAAATATCACATTTTTTTTTATTCCATTCATTGCGATAAATGGATAACAAAGGTCAGAATGCTCGTGAGTAATTTTTCTTTAAATAAATTTTTTATCCGAAGGAATGTGGCAACTCTTGAATCGTCACACGGCGTTCTCCCCCAACTCGGCAATTTAAGCTCGGGTCCCACGATCAAATGAACCTATCAAATACTCATCAAATGCAAGATGGCGGGTTCATCAGCATTTGAAGACCCGCTATCATTTGATAGCGGACTTGCGCGAAAACCTGTCACCATCTTGCATTTGATGAGTATTTGATAGGTTCATTTGATCGTGGGACGCGGGCTTTAGCTCCCCCCGCCACGAAAAACAAAAACAAATCAAGGGGCAAAACCCCCTAAGTCAACAGGCGAATCTACGCGGACTTCTGCTGCGCTGCTGCTTGTGCCGCCTGCTGCTGGGCCTGCTGCTGCTGCTGATGCTGATGCAGCATCTCCTCCATCTCGTCATCGGACATGGCCACCGTGCTATGGTTGTACAACCCCTGCGCCATCAGCTGGAGCGCTAGGGGGTTCTTGGTCCCGGAGGCCTTCTTGATCTTGGCCCGCTTGTTCTGGAACCAAATTTTGATCTGGGCCTCGTTGAGCCCCAGCTCGTTGGCCAGCTCTTGGCGGCGCCGCTCGGTCAGGTACCGGTTCTCCTGGAACTCGCTCTTGAGCCGCGAGAGCTGCTCCCCGCTGAACGCTGTCCGCGGTCGCTTCTCCTCGGGTTTCTTCTCCTTCTTCTTGATCCGCCGGGAGCGGGGACCTGCAACAGAGAGAGAGAGAGGGGCGGGTTAGTGTGTGTGAGTGAGGGGGGAGGAGTTGTTGTGATCCCGCCTTCTGCGCGAGGGATATTATAATCGAGGTATGAAAATTGGTCCGGTTGCGGCGATGGCTGCCGCGGCCGGGTGGTCGGCGGTGGCCGTACAAGAGGCTTTTGGAGGGTGTGTGTGGATCGGTGGCGTGGCGTGCGATAAATCGATTGATGCTGTTTGAGCCTTTAAACCAGGATCGATAAACAGGGTGTTCGCAATAAACACTTCAATGATCGATTCTTTGCCACACTGGAAAAAAAAACACATTGGATCTGGTGTCCAGACCCTTGAATGAAAACATTGACAAGAAAAAATCCTCTTGATTCGATTAGATTTAAGCTTAAATCAAGAAGAAATCCGCTCAAATTAAAAGGCTTGGTTCTTGATCTAAGCAAAAATCCGATTGAATCAAGAGTATTTTTTCTTGTCTATGTCTTTGAGAGTCTGGACTCTAGATCCAATGTGCTTTTGTGTTATGTGTGTGCGTTTGTAGTATTTTTCATTTCGTCTTTTGTGATATGGGAAATTGCGAAAAAATGAAAAAATAAACACATTTTAAAAGTGAGAAACTCTGCCGCTTTGTAACGTCATCAGGCGGAATTTTCCTTCGAAACGCGCGTATTTTAGCAGATTAGGTCATTTGATTATAACTCTTTTAAAAATTGCTCATTGTAAAAACCAATGACCTCGAGTTAGGTTCTTTCAGTCTTTTCTTCTTAAAAATACAATTCACAAAATTTCCGACACTTGAAAATTCTCCTTTGTATTTCTGCTATGCATGAGTTTTATCGATGAGCGAAGTTGATATTGTGGTCACGTTCACTCGTTTAGGAAGAGAGGAGTCAGTAGCGGCGCTTTTAAAGTACATATAAATAAAGAGAGGATCGTCTCTCATAACACTTGTTTTAATAAGGATTTTTATTACAATTCAGTTTTTTTTTTTTTTTTTGAATTTTCCTCCATGTCACTCAGCCGGGGGCCTTTATTCGAAGGGAATAAACCACAGAAGGGTAAAAGGAGGAACTCGCGCTCTCTCATCAAGCGCCAAATGGTATAAAACTCTTCTATCATTATTATACCATTCAAATGATTTAAATCCTCGTTCATAATGAAGATTTATAATGAAGAAGCCCACACTCGCGCTTTGATTGGCTGATTGTATCCGCCGTTAAGGGAGTCAAATAGAATGAGATGAGTGGGTAATGGGGCTCTCTTGACTTTGTCACTTCGTCGCCCCCTCGGACGTAAGGGCGTAGCTCAATTTCTACGTGAGCCTTGTTCTCATTGTAGTTTTATGCTTTCTGGGGCTCATGTAAAAGTAGAGATACTCCCTTATGTCGGAGGGTCGACGACTGTGCGGTCTCAGCCGGGTAACCACGCGCCGACATAGCTGCCAAGTTCATTTAAAAATAGATTCTGAGATATCGCTGTACACAGATTTGGGGGACGCCGGACGGACGGACACACATTTTTTCAAGTATGGTTATTTTGACTCCTGGGACCTTAAAACGTCTAGAAATGATGAAATTTCAACTTTTTTTCCTCCTTGCAGGATGACAATACTACCTCTACCCTAGGGGAGCGAGAAAGTAAAAATTCAAGTACGATAGTTATTGTGACTTTAAGCTCGATTTGCAGGACTTGGTACGAACGCCAATGATCCTTTGTCGCTGCATATGTATCACGAGTAATGGATAATTCGATAGAGAAAATCATGTAATCTCGCGCGTTGCGTAAAACGCGTTTCTAAGTTGGTTTAAAGTATTTTTTACAATTTTTTTTCTGATTTCAGATACGAGAGAAAATACAAATAAAGGTGAAAGGCGACATAGACCGTCAGTCACTATTTAAACAAGGTTGTCTCAGCGATTACAACCATTACGCTGTATTTACTTTGATATCTAACTATTTGAACAATCGATAACATCCCTGTGTTCAACCCAAGCACGGTTTTCGTTCTTCAATAAAATCAAGTCATATATATTATATCATATTATTAGTATTCGACATTTACAAATTTTTCAGTGCGGAGACTGTTTTTTGTCTTAAGCCTTTGCAGAGACTGCAAAAAAAAGAAAAGAAGAAGAAAACGCATTTTGCGACTTAAAATGGACCTTTAGACAAGGTTAGCAATTAAGTGTCACATGGGTCCCTTTTTCTATGCACATTTTTCCTTTATCACACTTTTCCTCATTGAAATTCCAAGTAAAACGTGACAAAAACAACAAAAGTTTCCGAGACGAACTCACAGTTGAGCATTTAGCGTTTTCTGAGTTCAGAGTCAAATCGAGTTAAAAACTGACTTCAGCATGTGCTGCAATTAAATGAGTTTTCCTTGAATCAAAGAGCCGAGCCTCGTGATTCAGGCGGATTTCCTTTTGATTCAAGCAAGAGGTCCGATTCAATCAAGAGTATCTTTTCTTGTCAATGTTTTTAAGAGTCTCGACTCTAGATCCAAGCGGCTTTTTTTTCCAGTGTTTTTTCGTAAAAACATGTAATTATTTCTAAAATCCTCCCCTTCAATTTGGCAAATCCAAAAACTCAATTTTTAATATTTGCGGAATCTTAAAGTCTCTTGTCTTTCCTGTGCGCTCTGTCATCGAAGACACTGGAAAAAAACACAGTGGATCTAGAGTCCAGACTCTTGAAAACATCGACAAGAAAAAATTCTCTTGATTCAATCAGATTTAAGCTTAAATCAAGAACCAAGCCTCTTAATTTGAGCGGATTCCCATTTGATTCAAGCAAAAATCTGATTGAATCAAGAGTATTTTTTCTTGTCATTGTTTTCAAGGGTCTGGACTCTAGATCCAATGTGTTTTTCTTACAGTGAAGAGCTTTAATCGAGCGAGAAGTCAACGGCGCATGCATGCGGAAGATGGGACGGTGGCATCGCACCCAAAGGCCCAAAGGGCGAATACACAATGTCCCCAATGTCCCCAAGCGATTGAAGAGCGGTGTAATCTTGATGGAATATTTATTTCCACAAGCCGCAGAATCCCCGCCAAGAATTAACGAGCATTTAAGGGCGATTTAGCCGCGGCTTCGGGGCCGAATCAGCGGGGGTCCGCCCCGTTCCGTCGCGCCGGAACTGTCCCTCCGCGGAGGCCCTAATCCCTGCGGATTAGCCCGTGTTTACGCCGTTGTTAAGCTCTACTTGTTGCTTAATATCCCTGTTGCCGCATGTGCGGGAGACAATTTTCAAGTTCTTACGTCTCCAAGAAATGTTCCATATCCTGATCGGTCTCAGATGTTGATGATAGCGTAGGCGGATCCAAGGGGGGGGGGGGGGGGGG